CACTAGCACATATTCAAAAGAGTGTGAGTTCTAAAGACATCAACAGGTGTTCTACAAGTTTGCACAGTACTAAATTTTTTCAGTGAGTGATAAACTCTGGGCTTGTCGGCAAATAGAGTATGAGAACTATCTCTAAACAACAAGTGCCGTGCTGCTGTAAGTGATAAACTCTGAGCTTGTCAGCAAGTAGCATATAAAAACTACCTCTAAACGACAAGTGCGGTTCTTCTTACACCCTTTTCTCATGTCTTACTTTTTTCTTGCAGTATATTACTGTTTTTTAGTTAAAACGTTTTTCAGAAAAATATGGTCCAGATGATCGTTGGAAAGAGTTTCCCGAATGACAAGATTTTATTATAGTATATATCATGGAACTTTATAAATATTACAAATTACATCATTTACTAGTAATCTAATAAAATTCAACTAAATTCCTTTATACCTATATGCAAATAATCTCATAATAAACGCATTATCTATAGTATTTATATCTATTTGTAATTTGAAAATGGTTGATATTTTTGGAATTAAAGATGCAAAATTCAAATGTAAAGTTAAATCCTAAATATATTCTTATAGAAAATATTTAATAGCCTAATATTGTAATACTTTGTACTTGTCAATATTCAGCGCTCATGTTTGAATGGGATATTTATTCTTGATAGAAATGTTGATGAAATTGTTTATCGATTCTTTCTTAAATCTTATTATATTTAATTAGGTTGTTTAAGCATAGTTTCTTTGCTACACATTTCAAGCCAAAACCTATCCAAGAATCAAATCTCAAATTTAATATCTATGTTGCAAATATTAATATAATATTAACTAATAATATAAATAAATGTATATTTAAGTTTTGAAAAATGCTGTTTAATTTTATATTGTACACAAATGAGAATCTATTAAAACTATTTACCTTAAAATGCAGAAATATAACTTAAAGAAAGATAGAACTGATTTAATATTTTGTGATAATTATGCAAATTTTTAATGGCCATTCTTTTTTTTATATGTAATTCTTTCCAAGTTTGTTCATTACTGTGGATATATATATTTCCTACTATTCATTAATTTCTTTTAATTCATTATACAAAAGTATTTGATTTGAATTTATATCCTACTGTATTACAGTTCATATTGAATATTGAGCTTCTATATTTGTTTATAAAAATTTTTTCATATCGGTGGATCTACGTAATTACTATTAAAAATTCTAAAATATTTGACAAAGAATAAATAACTTTTGACCCACTAGTTCGTTTTAGATGATTTATTATCAAAATAACTATCTCAGTAAGACGATTTTAAAGAGCCCAAAATCATCAAAATCTAATTACTGAATCTTGAAATCGCTAATTTGTTTATATCAGATAAAATAAGATGAGTTCAACCTATCTATTTTACTGATGAAAACAAACTAGCAATTTTTTCAGGATTCAATGATTGGATTTTGATAATTTGGGCTCTTTAGAATCATCTCACCGAGACAGTCATTTTGATGATAAAATCATCTAAAATGAACTAGTAAGTTAAAAGTCATTCTTTGTCAAATATTTTAAAATTTTTAATAGTAACCGCTGATATGCTTATGGATTTTCTATTGCATCTTTTATAAATGGTTTAGTATTATTCATATTTGACAAAAGACCTCAACTCTTTAGTTTTGGAAAATAATTTGAAAATTTTAGGTTATCTTTTTTATTAATAATAAAGAATTTATATTAATGACAATAAAATTTTTTAATGATTGTAACCTGTAGTGCTTGTAGTCGATAACACATTAGTTGACTAAGTTAATCAATTTTTCAAAGATCGACTTTCTATAAATTCATCCATACTTAATTAATACTATACTAAATATATAAAAAACTATTTTGAAGATTCTTTATTCAATATACAGTAAATGTGAATATAATTGAACAAAATATTAGTTGAATATTTTTATTTTTCTTTAAATAATTATTTATTAGTCAGCTGCTTTGATTTATATATTGAATATATATTAGTTTTCTTATTAACTTATATATCGTCAATAAAAGAATTTTTAAATATAAATTTTTATCTTTATATAATCACTACTTAATCAGCTAAGCCGACTAAGCTGAATTTTATATCATTGGCTTAGTTAATCAATATTTAGAAGCAGTTGATTTCCAAAAAATTGACTTAATCGATTTTATGTTAGATTATATTAAAGTAACCAATAACGATACCATTCTTAGTAAATAATGCTGAAAGTAAGCACCGAAAAATTCTGAAAAGAAAATCAACGAACATAAATATGAGCAAGATCATGACAAAAAACATTTATCGACTTTGACTTAGCCAAATTTTAAATATCATCTTAGTCAAGTCGATAAATAAGGATCGACTACAAGCACTAGTAACCTGTCCCAGGTTTTCTACTGTATAAGCACGAAATAACGTGCAAGGGTGTGATTTCGAATCTTGATCTAAATTAAGCCTAAGTTGGGCCATTATTCAAAAATAACGCCCTGTGCATTATTTCATGCTTATATGGGTATGTGCCTTAAAACTCAATTATAATGCATTTTAGTCTCATTTATATCTGTCAAGTTAAAGCTAATAATCACTTAAAATTCCAATATTCGACAAATTCCAAATAGCATGTCTATGACTTGATTAGATTATTTAACATATAACTTTAACAGAAGTAAATATGTACAATTATTAAATAATTTTTGCAGGCAAATTTGTGTGTAAAAGTTTTTCGTTTTAAAGAATGAGTTTATTTTATAATTAGCAATTAAATATCTGTTTAATTTTTAAAAATATAATATTTTTACTTGTAAAAAACAAAAGTTATATTATTGATTACTATTATTGGACTACAAATTGATTTAAGCTTAAATTAAAAATATTTCAAACTTAAAAATGTTCTTAAAGCCAACCTTGATTCTCAGCAAAAATAATTAAACTTACAAAATAAAACAAATAAAACAATATTCTAAATTCTAAATACAAATTTTTTAAGATTAATAAATTTATGAATTATATTTGTACTAAAAAATACCTAACTTCTGATTTACTTCTCCCTTTGTCAAACTTTATAAAGGAACAAATTATTTATATAAACCATTTTACGAAAAATAAAAGATTATCTAATCAGATTTGCATCACTTTATTATTGTTCGATCTGAGACTTGTTTACTATATATTATGAAAAAAAATGATAATAGGTATCTCTTAACAAGAGCTAATTTTAATACGTTATTTACTGTATAACATCTAAAAAATCATAATCACAAATTTATATTAGTAGTATCAAATTATATATAACAATATAAGCAAAAGTAAATAATCATTTCACATAGCCTTTAAAGAACCCCGGTATTATCAGAAATACATTTGCTTATGTTTTATAATATCTATTCACAGACATGTTAAATTTACTTAGCCATACCAAGACCCTTGACACTGCTATTTCAGCTTATGTCATCGATGTACGTTATTTCTATTAATTCATGTAAGCACACATTTTAAAAATAGATCAATGCAGATTTACATTGTTTATCATATTAATATTAGTTATTTAGTTATATATATAGTTACTTTAGTAAACTATATTGAAATCTATTTTTACACAAGCCTTGTTTTATTCAATTATTAGAAGGATTGTGTGACTAGACCTCGACTATTGGAAAAGTCCACTATTATATGAATTTCTAGGAGTTAAACGTCATTAAAGATAGGAATTGCATAAATGAGCGATGAAAATAGAAAACTATAAATTGATTAATCAAAGTTCAAAGTTCACTTTATTAGGCTCAGCCCTTGTAAAATTGTCAGTTTGAATAGTTGTTAAATGATGTTGAAATAAAAACTATCATGTAAAATTAAATTCTTCTAAGCCAAGTCTGATAAGATAAAAAATAGCAAATCAATTTACAAGGTTTCCATTCCGCCGCTAAATATAATTAAAAATTATTAATATTTTTTTAATTCAGATTATTCGCAAAAAAACACACATGCTTTGTTCATTTTAAAACTTTGCTTAATTTTTTTTTTTAATATTGAACCGTTTATCTATGAATATTTTTACATGTTTTCTTGTTTATAAAATATCATATAGTCATACCATCGGGAGAGTTAAATAAGTGCAAATCTGCAAAAACTTGCAAAAATGCAGATTTTTACAGAATTTTTTGCAAAAAACTGCAAAATTTTTTATATTTTGAAAATTTGTGCAGAACTGTATTTTAATTTCTGTAGCTGTAACTGATGAGTCTGAAGTTTTGCACAGATTTTCATTTAATTTATTATTTAATTTTTTTGCAAATCTGTTAGAAAAATTTCTTCTGATGACATATCTATATACTAAAATGATATTTGTTTATCAAAAAAAAAAAATTTTAAAAAAAAAATTAATATATTTTTACATATCTCGATATAAAATTTTAAATTTATTTTCATTCAAAGAAATTACAAGTATTGTTGTATCTAGCACAACAATAAAAAAATCTTTTATGATTGATGTTATTTTTTTTAACCCTCCTTTTAGCTGCAAGTTCTTTACAATGACATACAACATTTGACTGAAATTCTTCTTCCCAAATAAAAAAATCATATTTGTCATCGTAATTAGCACAACTGTAAAAGATTCTCCCATGATTTATATTGTCTTTTCTTACTTTTTTTTTAATTGTGTACTCATCTCAAGTACACCTTACTTTGGATTGATATTCTTCTTCCCAAACAAAAAAATTACATGTAACTTTTTGTTGGATACAACAATAAAAAAACCTCCTGTAATTCTCATTTTCCTTTAAAACTTGGCATTTTATAGCCTGTTCTTTACAGTAACATCTGACATTGTTCAAACTCATCCTATTTTCAGCTTGTTCTCTTATTTCTTTTTCTTGTTTCAGTTGGATAGCTTGTTCTCTCTTTTCCTTCTCTCTTTTTTCTTTTTCTCTTTTTTTTTTTTCTAGTTCATCTTCTTTTTCATATTTTTGGCTTCTCTTAAGGTCATATTGTAATCATTTACTTTTATCATGCAAAACATCATATGCTTCGCCAATCTCTTTAAATTTTTGCTCAGCTGAACTACCGTGATTTTTATCAGGATGCCATTTGAGAGCCAATTTTTTGTATGCTTGTCTTATTTCTTTCTTATCCACATTCACATCGACCTCTAATACTTTATAATAGTTCAATTTTATAACTTTAATTTTAGGCATTATAAAAATTTCAAACAAAGATTGATTTAAAAAAAAAAAATTAAATTTTTTTTTTAAAAATCAGGTATTTAATAATAATTTGTCAACATAAATAATTAAACTATATCATATACATAAAATATAGTACAGTACATATTATTAATGTATGCAAAATATTAAAAAAATTTTTTTTTTTGATATACTGTATATACAGTACATATATACATACGTACAATATATCATAAATTAAAAAATAGCACATTAAAACTTTACAATATTGCAGTATTGCATGGCTTTATATTTATACTAACTAAAAATTACATATACAAGTTTATTTTCTTGATATAATGTAGCATGATTTTATTAGTATAGGATCTCTAAGTTTGTTGTATATACAAGTTTAGCCTTGATTATCAAATATATTGATATATAATTTATATCAAAATGTATATAAGATAATACTCTGCTCTATTCAATGTCTGATCTGTTAATTAGATTACCATTATGCAAATTCGAAATCAGTTAATAAAGATTCTAACGTTCTAATGTTAAATTAATGTGTGATATCAGATATATAAACTTTTAATACCATATATGTATATACGTACGTACAAACTAGAGTTAATACCTCAATCCGGATATATTTTTTATATCTGGATTAATCCGGTTTTATTATAGTATAAATCCGGATATAAATTTAAATCCGGATATATTTATATTCGGATATAAAAACATTATGTTACATTATATCACATGACATAGTATATATCCGGATATATTAATCCGGATAGAGGTATTAACTCTAGTACAAACAGTAAACCTTCGTCTTCACAGTTACGTGACTTTCATATTCACAAATTATGTAGGTAGAATTTACAAAGCAGTAACTTCAACTCTTAATTTACTCGAATAATACCTTAACATATTTTTACTCAAAATTGTGTTCTTTTTATTTATTTGTTAAATGTTAACAGAAATAAATTGTATTTTAAAAAGTATACTGTGCCAAAGTTAAAAATATATTAATGGAAGAGAAAAGGCAACTGAGTGTCAAAATTGCTAAAAGTTTAAGGTCAAAAATATTATCAATTTAATATAACAAATTTAAAATTTTTTAGGGGGGAATTAAACAAATATAATTATATAGTAATGCTTCATAGCAAACCTAGTTCAAACTATTAAGGAGTTTCAGAATTAAACTTATAAGATAATGTATTTATTTTAAAATATGTGATGTGTTAATCAATACTGCTTCTAATACTGTTTTATGCTAAACATGCCTAAAATTTTACATTGACAACGTCAAATTAAACAAATAAATAATCTTTTAAGGACACTTATAAACAAATATTCAACTATATAGCATAAATAAGGCTATTACTAAAGGTTTGAATAAAGAAATTGACAAACTATTCGAATTAATACAAGCTATAAAACTGGATAGATATCTTACTATACATGAAAGAACAATTAAATCTAACAATTTTTTTTCAAGTAAGTTATATAAAAAAAATCCAAGCGAAAGTTTAATAAATTATATAAAAAAAATTTTAAGCAAAAGTTCAGTAATATAAAACAATAATTTAAGTAAAGGTTTAGTAAGTTATATAAAAAAATACCTTTGAGTGAAGGTTTAATAAATAATTTGAGCAAAGATTTAGTAAAAATTTGAGCAAAGGTTTAGTAAATAATTTGAGCAAAGGTTTAGTAAATAATTTGAGCAGAGGTTTAGTAAATAATTTGAGCAGAAGTTTAATAAATAATTTGAGCAGAGGTTTAGTAAATAATTTGAGCGAAGGTTTAGTAAGTTATACTTTAAGTGAAGGTTCAGTTAAGTAATTTGAGTAAAGGTTCAGTAAGTAATTTGAGCAAAGGTTCAATAAATAATTTGAGTGAAGGTTA